GTTCTCGTAATGTTACCACTTTATTCTCGTAATGTTACGAGTTTGTTCTCGTAGTATTACAACTTTGTTCTCGTAATGTTACCACTTTATTCTCGTAATGTTACGAGTTTGTTCTCGTAATGTTACAACTTTGTTCTCGTAATATTACGACTTTATTCTCGTAATGTTACGACTTTGTTCTTGTAATGTTACGACTTTGTTCTCCTAAGTTATGACTTTATTGTAAAATAGAAGAAAAAAAATTCTAGCCTGGCCCTAATACTGCGTCGTTAATTTTACATCCATGAGGACAGAACGGAAAATATTTGCTGCAGTGTTTAAGCCCCCTGTGGCCGTTGATGGGACTGCAGCTTGTCATAGCAGGCTGTGACCACAGGGTGGCAGTGGAATCATCATTAAAACCTGTGATCCAATCCTCTGGCACTGTGAGCAGCCTTATATCGCCATCCTACTCTTCATGTTTTGGATAAATCCAGACTCAGACCTGATCCCAGCCTCTGAGTCAAACTGAGGGTCCGAACCTCGTGGTTGGAGAAAAGTCGGACTCCCTCCATCTGATGGAAGACGGGGTAGTGGCTGGCATCGATCTCGTCTCGTCTGTAGACGTCTCCGGCCAATAGGAAGGCGTCCAGGCCAGAGCGGACCAGCTCCCTCTGGTGGGCCGACGTGTGAGCTCGAAGCATGGTGGTTCTGGAAAGGAGCGGGATCGTGAAACCCTGGGCCGGCCCAAATCAAGGACTCAAAGTGTGAGTCTCTGAGAGCAGAAGGTCACCTGTTCAGGTAGTAGTTGTCTCCTGGCTTCCTGCTGGGATGATCGGCTGGGATCAACAAGCTGCAGGAGGAACAGAAACCATCTTTCATCTGATGTTCACTTGAATTATGAATCCACTCAGCACATGTTCTATTAAAGATCAATTAGCTTCTAGGAACACATTAGCATGGCGGCAGAAGCTTTATGTGAAGCTGGGTTTCTGCTGCCATGGCCCCGCCCACCATGAAGCTGGTGATGAACTGATGAACATTCATCAGTTCATCACCATCCATCCATCCATCCATCCATCCTCTAACCTGTCAAAGTTCTGCTCCACCGTCACCACAGGACTCAGGTTATCGTGGACAGAGAACACTGGGTTCCCCCAGCGGCCGATGTAGGAGCTGTGAAGGAAAATCAATCATTGGAGTGAGAGAGCACAGATGAACAGACCAAACCAAAGGCTCAGAGGAACATTTAGAGAGACTTCACTCAAAGAAGAAGGGATCATTAAAACCTCAGTATGATGGTTTTACTTCATTGAAACAAAGCTAACTGTCAGTTAATGAAGCTAAAGGTTCAGGTATGAGCATCTCCTGGTGGCTGCTCCGACCGGCCTCAGGTGTAACCAACTAGGATCCTACCGCTCTTTGGTACCAAGTCCAAAAATCAACCATCCTGGATTCTGGGAACTTTTCACAGGGTTTAGATTCACAAGTGTTTGTCGGCAAGGTGCTGAAACCAAGAAGAAGACCGTGATTCCCGACCAGATAAAGCAGGAAAGCAAGTTCAGTCACTGCCTTAATGAAAAGAGGCCAGAAGGAAGGATTAGATTGAACATTTCTCTGGTGTTTGAAGGAGAAAGGAAGCTCTTTTGAATTGAAAAATCTTCCCGGATGGAAGAGAAACGTCTTCAAACTTAGAAACAAAGTCCAGTGGATTGATTTTTACTTTTTTTGGAACGACTGGATGACTGAGAATCTCCACCAACATATTTAAGCTAATTTATCTTCCCTTCAAACAACTTTCTCTATTAAACCCTCATTTACTCATATTGGGGCAACTGACCAATCAGAGAGAGCTTTTAAAGGAAACTTCCTGTGACTAAAGTTCAATCAGCAGAGTAGATATGAGGAACTAGACAGCTGCAAAGTTTCCGTCTGAGGAAGATTTCCCGCCCCTCTCTGGCCTCTCCTGTGATCTTTTCAGAAACTGAAGTTCACAACCTGTGAAATGGCAGAACCATAAAGCACGGCGAGCCCACCACCTTCAGTGACAGCTTAATGATTCATTAATGCAGCATTAGGTGCGCGGTGAGCAGCAGCCTGATGATATTTCCCCGCTGCGTGCGGCGCAGCAAACTTTAGCTCTCCGTCGTCCCTGCAGATCATCCGTCAGCAGGTTGAGCCCACAAATATAGAAACATGTGAGGCAGAAGCTGCTGTTCTGAGGAAGCGGGAGATGAGCTATTAGGTCCCCACGCGTAAACAGTGGGGTTTAAGGAGCCAGGTCGATTAGACAATGCTGCTACTAAAACAGCAGGGGAGAAAACTGCAGGCCTTGGTGCAGCGTCTCATTCTGTCTTATTACATTTCAACGCAGATATAGTTTCATTTAACATGATAGAAGTTTGCTCTGGAATGTTCTAACTGAGGACAATATCTAGTGTGAAGCAAAAATGTTTGACTTTAATGAATTTCCAGTAATAATCCACAAGTTTTAATGCGAGATAACAGAGATAACATCCGGGATTCATTCTGAAAGGTTTTTTAAAGCGTTCAGGAGTTCATTTCTAACCATTCCTCCAGGGAAGCATGTTTAAAGTCATAGGGAACTCATATTTAAATGTTAAATCATTCTGACTTAAACATGTAGATAAATGTGCTCTTTATCAGACGATATTGCCCCAAAATGTATAAAATTTCTATTTAAAAAAAATCTTTTTTTTTTTTTAGTTATCTTCTGCAGGTCAGTTAGTTCTACGTCAGCCTGAATATGGAAGTAAATCTGTGCAATGGCCGTTACGTTTTCTTAGTCACGTGACGTGACGCTTGTGGCGCTCATACTGAAGGAAAACCAGCATGACGGAGCCAATCATTCAAGCTAACGCTAACTCAACTACAGAAAAATTTTAAGTAATAAACTCACCGTTGAGTTAGCGTTACCTTGCATGACCGGAGCCGGTCATGCAAGCTGACGCTAACTCAACTACAGAAAAATTTAAGTAATAAACTCACCGTTGAGTTAGCGTTAGCTTGCATGACCGGCTCCGGTCATGCAAGCTGACGCTAACTCAACTACAGAAAAATTTAAGTAATAAACTCACCGTTGAGTTAGCGTTAGCTTGCATGACCGGCTCCGGTCATGCAA